AAAACTCAAACTAGAAGCTGTATTGGATATTACCTGAAACCGCTATAATACGAGTCGAGTATTAGATGAGTCTTGAAAGGTGAGCAACATCGAACGCACTCCCGATATGTATGTATTCCCACTGCTCTTGAATCTTCCACCTCCACGTTATAAGTTATGTGGAAGCCTTGTCCGACCGTATAATATCTCCGTTCAGCTCGTGGGGGAGTTTCAACCGCCGCCGTCGGAAAGCTGGATTCACTTCACCCCACAAGATTGTGTTCGGCATGTCTTTGAGGCCAGTGAAAACTTGAAAGAGCTCAGCGGCGGATATTTAGTGTGGGAACATGAAGTAGGCTGTAGTTTGATGTAGTAGGGCAACGGTGAATTGAGAACTGAATCGAGGAGTTCGCTTGATTTTTGCTTGAGGCGGTTCATCAAGGAGAGTTGAGTTCGAGATTAAATTTTGATTCTACCACCCTAGAAGATCGTAGTTGGTATAATCTTGAAGTGGTGGATAATCGTTGTTTCTTATGGAAGGTGGAACTGTCGGGCATTGGTGGTGAGGAAGGCGAAGGCGGTTCGCTCTACAAGCGCTCGAAGATGTCATCGGTCCCGGGCGGCGCTCGGCGCCTTTCCAGGCACACAAACCGGACTCGTTAGTTCGAGATCATGCTCCACTGTTTCCTTCGACCCAGACCAGCTTCGCGATCATGATTATCACTCCCCAACCGACCTCCACCATCTCTAAGATTTAGAACCTACCGTACCCACGCCCACCGTCGTCCAACAACCATGGAAAAGAAAAATTCCATCACCGAAGACAAACTCTTCCTCCCTGCCCTTCCAACCGCTTGATCATCCGTATCCATCGTCGACACACAGACACACCTCGCATCCACATACGCAACTTACCGAGGTAAACTCAAGACAGCCAAATACGAGCCGGTGTATGACGTTGTGAGGGGAATGTACGACGAGAAGAAGGTAGACGCGATTGTAGATGCGGTGAGAAGCCCCGGTGCAGAGGTTGTGGAAGGAGTTTGCGAGTTCAGCAGTGACGGAGGAGAATAAACGAGCCAAGTGCGGTGGGCCATAGTATTGGTTTGTTACAGGTCTGTTTCGTTGTTTCATCGTGAGTGCTGAATGTCGTTTTTGGGTACATCTTTAAGTTTTGGATGGTTGGCTTGAGGGAGAGGAATATGAATCGTTTTGACAGGCACAACGCGAAGGAATACATCAACGACATCGAACGTGAAATGCACGCAAAACATACCTCGTCTGCCGGTCGCCTTGCTATCCGCGGACCACAGAATAGAAGCCATAATTCACTTCACCCACTCTGCGTCGGCTGGGGAGAAACGGTCTTGACTGCCATCTCGACAGCCCTCCCCGAGAAATCAAACGAGACATCTTCGCCCATCAACTCCGCCACGCAGTCCGACTCGGCAAATCGTTGACTATACAACACGCAAGAGAGGCAGACGACAATACCAAGAGGATATTGAAGGAAATTGTCCCCAAACATCACCCGGTCCGTCACACGCATTCTTGATCCTCTACTCGATTCGACTTTTTAATCGCGGCGTGTTCCACAGATCCATATCCACTGCTTCACCGACGTCCCAGAATTCGCACACAGTCTCCTTTTTCACTTTTCCAACCTCTACATCGGTATCACAGGTACTTACAAGTTACTGCCCTTCCCTTCACTCTCCTTCCCTCTCCGCCCTTTCCTACTAAACCACCAACAGGCGTTATATAACATTCGCCATAAACCTCAACGCCTCCTCCGTCATCCGCCGCATGCCCACCTCCGACCTGCAGATCCTCCTAGAAACAAGAGCCCCCTACGTGGTTCTAGCCAAAATCTACGCCTCTCTGTCTTCGTTATCGGGTAACCGGCCTCCGTTGAGTCATAGCGCGATGATTCCCTGGCCCGCTGATTTCGTTTCGGGGGTTCTAAGAGGAAAAGATGGAAATGAGGAAGGGTGAGATAGTGCGACGTTGTTGGAGGCTGGGAGGGAGAATGCGAGGAAAGAGTATGCTTAGAGACGGTCGTGACTAGTTTTGCGGTCGGAGAAGGGGGAAATGGGCTGTTACAGGATATGATGTTGTGAAGACACACGTATCGCAGTATGGCCGACTAGCTCAGTTGGTTAGAGCGTCGTGCTAATACTATGCTCCAATAAATCCCTGCTGTTAACGCGAAGGTCTTGGGTTCGATCCCCACGTTGGCCATAATTTTTCTTTTGATTACCGTTTTTTGTATTCACGGAGTTATAGATTCCGACCGTCCATGCGGATGGTCATCAACCTTTTCCCTCCCTGCTAAGTGTCGGACTCGCAGTCCATTTCATGTTGATTCTTCTGCGTCTCATCAGCCAAAGTCGGGAGCAACGCTACTTGACACCCTCAAAACATACTATCTATCATTCAAAAGGAGCAGGAGTCCTAACGCTACTTCGGGATACATCTACATCACCTGTGGAAATTTCTTCTTTTTTTCGCCTTGGGTCCCAACCTCGGTGCACTCGCCACGTACATATTGACTTGGACTGTGACTGAGCTGCAGCCTGCAAAGTTTCAAAAATGTAAAGTAACACTCAAAAACCGAGGCCCAAACGGTAATCCTCACGCCACGGTGCTTGAGCAGTGAGTCAAACTTTGTTCGGTTATAGTACGTACCTGCTACACCACGATACACGAGTCAATACTAAGTTGTGCCCCCCAATTTGCCCCCTCCTATCACTTGGGTTTGAGCGATACTCGGCCATCAGTTATTTGCGAGTCCTACGTACTAACGTACCACCCGTGGCCACGCGGCACCTGAGGTCTAATTACCTCGATGATGGAACGTGGAATGCGCGAGTCATCGTCGGGGTCAAGCCCCAAAGCCGGACTCTCGTGATTGTGTAGATACGCTGCGACGTTCACAGCTCGGTTGTTAACTGAGTCTATGGCATCAGGGCTCGCCGCTGAGATATCCGCATGGGACTAAAAAGGAGGGAAGATGATGTCCCTTTTTGATGCTCTGAGTCTTTTGTTATCGTTTCGAAACAAAGAATAATAATTAACCCCACCGTGAGCGTGATCTAGCCTGGCTATCTAAAGACTTAGAGTGACTAAACCAGATTTAGCACACCTACTCGTCATCTCCAAGCCACCACTGGCGATACTACTATCCAATAATACATGGGATAAAGTTTGCGAGCACAAGTTAGATCATAAATGACACCAAACCAGCATAGACATGTAAAATGACCATGGTCTCTTAGTCGTTTGTACATTCGGAGCGTCTTTGCCATGCAGGATAGCCTCTTGAGAGCCAAAAGGTGGGCGCAGTGGAAGTGGCAAGGCCGACCAAACCCAATGTGATTATACCCTTCGATGATAAGTAGACAAATTGGGCCTCGCACGGCTTCCTTGCTCTTGTAACCCCACATTCTCCAAAATCGACTTTGAGTTCTTGACACACACGGCCCGATAGACATCCTGACAAAGACGGTCATTGGCGTGGAGAATCGTCAGTGGCGTGCAGCTATGGAAGGATCCGGTTATCGGTATGCTCTCTTTGCTCACCCTCTTGGTGGATGTGGCTTTCGTTCCTACTTACTCTCGCGCCATATGATTGTTACACCGGATGATACTGAATATATTTGCTCCACAGCCTCCCGTTGGTATATCCGGTCTGTGGGGCGGACTCAAACATACACCTCTTTCAGGCGGAGAATGGGGCTAGCTCTTCCGGGTGCCCGATTCGATACCAAGGTTTTGAAGGATTCAGTGGCCAGGAGGAAAAGGATCACGTTTAATGTTAGCCTTATTGCGTCTATCTAGATGACCACTCTCATCATAATACCCAGCTAGTCTACGAGATCATGGCTTCTATTCTTCTTATTAGCACCAATTCACCACGTTGGAAACGACGGGTAACAGGGATTTCAGGGCGCAGAGTTACTACCGGCCTAATGGTCTAGTAGTATGATTCTCGCTTTGGGTAGAACACTGAGCTCGATGCTGCCACCCACGTGCGAGAGGTCCTGGGTTCAATTCCCAGTTGGGCCCATTTTGATGTTTTGCTGTGTCTTTGGGTCGGAGACACATTCCTTTGTGATGTTCTTAGCAGTTGTTCTTTCGGTGTTTTTTAGGGTACTCTCCGCGTAGGACACAGATATACACCTCCTATATGTATAATACATTGAAAACCTACTACTCGACTGTCCATTGAATCCGGAGAACAGAAAAGACGCTGGCACGTTTAGATTGTAATCTCGACGAAGCAGCGTCTGAGGGTTAAAATCATTGCTATTTTTTAGCACGATCCCTCAAGTATCCCGCCGGCATTCACAATCGATCGCTCCTCCCTTGCCTCCTACCAAGTAATATCTTTCATACATATATATCACTTTCGGGTAAGAAAGCATAGTCCAAAGGTCCACGGGCGCTTTTGGTGGCTCCATCTGTATGTTCGCAAACCGGATTACTGTGCGGCTGCATCGAAAGTACGGTTTCGTTTGATGCGCCTGTGCCACTTACTGTACAAGTCGCTTCACAGATGACATGACCACAGAGCACTTGTGAGCTTTTTTGGCAGACCAGCATCATCATGACCAAACATTTCCGACTACTCGAGTCGATCCAAATCCAAAAGTGCCAAAAAGAAACAACTGGTAAACTCCTCCGACGCTCTAGTACACGTTCTTAGTGCTCACCCACCAAAAACGCTCGATTAGGGAGTAAGTGTCATGCATTTGGCAATGAAAACCGGTCCGCTGGAGCCTGATGCCCAACGCGAACTATTTATCTAATGTAGCCGTTATATTTTCCTCAACAGCTTTGTAGCTTCTCTGGACTTGCCGCTTCAAGAATGAATGTAACCTCATCGCGCGCGCTCGGACACCATGTGGGTTGTACATATCGCGTGAAACGAGGATGGGGGGTTTTGTTTTTTGAGTGTTTAGTTGATGAATAAGTTGATCGGACTCGGGGCTGAGTGAGCACAAATCGGACCCCAAGCCCCCAGTCAAAAAGAGTGACAGAAGCTTGTGCGGGGCGGGCCAAGAGCGTCGGTTCGTGTTCATTGCTTTGTGCATATAGATAATGTTGTAAGTCATTCAAAGTTCCAATCGAACACCACGAACACTCCTACGGTCTGAGTTGGCCCGGAATTGAATGGAATCATGGAGATCAATGTGGACACTGGACGTCGGGCGAAGATCGAGGTGTCGAGGATGTTGAAAGCCTGCATAACCTATTGTGTTCGACTTGTACCTTATATGAGTGAGCGCATCTCTGGAGACTCGGAGGGGCGAGTCATATACCTAGCTCTCAAGATTTGGCGCTTTCAAACCACAACGTTGAACACGAGAATCCCCTCGGAGCCGGAGTATGGGGTTCATGATCGCTTATGAGTGACGCGATTTACATTGGCCGGCGAACTCGCTTCAAGAATCACCGCGTGGAGAAAAAGAATTGTGGGCCTGTGGCGTGAACGTCAACTGGATTAATAGCTGAGCCGATGATGGATTATAGGGGTTTTTTGAGTATCTAGTATTTAATGAATGAATGATCGGGCCCGGGGTTGATGACCTCAGACAAGCCCAGTCAGGGTCCAACAGAAAAGGATTGACAAAATGAAACTCGTACGGGTCGGGTGGGGGAAGAGATGCCGCCAATGGTGGCTGGGTGTTTCGATAGATTTTGTAAGTATGACAAGAAAATTCATTCGAATTTAGCACCGACCAACGGGCCAGACACATAGATAGACTCATCTACTACTTCCATACGCCGAGACATATTCCGGTGGCGCCTGTTCTACCCCCTCAATTCTCTCCACTCTCTGCATCAACAATTGTATCTGCGCCTCCATAGCCCGATATCGATTGTCATCTCCGAGAGTTGAAGTCCCGCCACTTTGACTGTCGTCACGCTCAGAGCGAGGCTGTTGAGGTTCGATAGTTTGCTCGCCTCCCGCAGGATCCGTTATCTGAGGGTTGGACCCCTCAACAGCCTTTCGGAAGTTTGAGGCCGGCATGGACGGGGGTTCTCTTTGTTCACGAGGAGAGTCCGAAAAAGGAGTTTTAGGTGGAAAAGGGTGAATCACTGCTGCGATTTCATAAGATTCCTGTAGTTGCTGATCTGTGGCAAAGAGCATCATGGTATGTCTGGCTTTGTGTGCTTTTTACTTACTCTGCTTACTTCTTCGCCTATGCAAAAGAAGGATTGTGATGACGAGTAAAACTAGGAATGCACCACCTCCAAGTGAACCTCCGATGATTTTTGCTCGTAAATCGTTGAAGCCGGAGGTATTGGAATCAGTGGCGACCGGGAGAGATGGTGCACTGAAAGGTAAAAATGTTAGCCGTAGAAAACAGAGCAGAAGACGATGATCTATGCAGTTCGTCACCTTGACGTTGGTGGCGGTGTGGTTTCTCCTCCAGGGAACACAGCCATTATCCGCTCGGTGGCAAACTCTCGATTTCCGTCTGGAGGACCCCTGAAATGCACAATTCTCCTCAGTGTAGCATCTCGATGCTCACACCAAATACACATACTCTGCAAACCTTATTATTTCAAAGAAGTCACCTATCACGGTGAGAAGGCTATTTCGGGCCAAGTTGGTCACTCTTCAGGTCCACGTGAACAGCAATGTGAGAGAACAAGAAACTTACCCAACAGTTGTGGCCGTGAATATCAGTGATCCCTCGGATTGCGTCCCATCAAAAACTGTTACTGCCATGGTCCCTCCTGAGATGATTCTTTCAGATTCATCTTCAAGGTACAAGAACAGTGTTCCTGCTCCATCGTCGCCCTTATCGCGTAACCAGGTGATGGTTTGTGGCTGAAAGGCAGTGATAGTGGCAGGTAGTGGGTTGACATGGTAGGCCAAGATTTCGTAGAACAGATGCGATAGCAAGAAAATGAGTAGAAGGGCCCAACTGTATGGGAAAAGGGGGTCAAACAATTGGTCAATGTTTCTCCAAGCCTGACTTGATTAGGGTATGTACCGAAGCTTCATGGTTGAGAGAGGGAAAAAGAAGAAAGAGGGAAAGATGGGTAGCCTGTCAACCCTTCCGATCCTACAATAAGTACAGGATTAAGAATAGATGATATTTGATAAGTAACACCTGATGCTCCAACTCACGGTCTCCATCTTGTTCATATCTGGAAGTGGTTCTCGCAATTGTTTTGTAACCAGATGATGGTTTGTGGCTAAGAGGCAGTGATCCTGTCGGGGCAGGCTTAACATGAGCTCCTTTTAACCGAGAAGAAAGGCGACCGTAGCAACAAAATCCGAGAACAGAACGGCGAGAGAGCAGTTCACGCCTCCCGCAAACGCTGAGAGGGCGACATCAGGTTACGGTGCGGTGTAAGACCTATGTATACCGGTTCATCGAACAAAGCAGGTGCGGTGAGTTTAGTACTTTGTTCCAGGAGATGTTCCAGGAGATATTGCGGAGGTACAATCGATGTACGGTTCTGAGACGTCGTTGGCCAGTGACTAATGCTCGATATTTTGATAGAAAGTGGAGTTGTGAGTCGATGACGGCGTATATGGATACCATTTTTCATGCCTGATGAGGCCATATGTTTTCCTGAAGATTTTGGGTTGTAAGAAAAAGCAAAAAGTCAATTTTGTTGGGAGAAATTTTTAGTGAATAGAATCTTGCATTGTCAGCTGAATCGCGAAGTTTGACCCCGACTATTATCAGTCCCAGGTCTAGCTTGATACCTATACATTAGGATCACAACGTTAAACATGTGAACCCACTCGACATCGGAGCATGGGCTTATAAGCAATCATGATTGGACTCTAACAAAGGCTTGAATCAGTCATAAATAGACGGGACGCGAAGAAGAACACGGTCTCGTTTGATTGTGAGTCGGCTTCGTCGGCTTCGGTCTTCACTTATCACAGGAATTTGATTTCATTCGACACTGGACGGTGAACCTCGCTTCAAGAATCAATGTAATACCGATGAAGGACAAAAGGAATTGTGGGCCTATGGCGTGAACACCGACTGGATTATTAGCTGAGCCGATGATAGGGGTTTCTGAGTGCTGAACATTCCCCGTCGTGAGGACCGAGTTACTCAGCCTCGCACAAGCCCAGTCGAGTCCGACAAAGAAATTTACAGAGTCTCACTCGTGCGATTCGGTTGGGGAGGTCTCGCCGATTTGTGGAGTAAAAGTGGAAAGGGTGTTTGATCCCTGGAGCAAGCTCAGTCCCTATGATACAGAATTGACTCGTATTCACAAGCTTTGGGGGCTCGATTGTCCAACATCAGTACTTAGTGATGCACTTTGCATTTCCCAGAGCTATTCTTGTGTTGGGATCTCCTCCCTACTCTCCAACTCGTGTACGAGTTGATTCTCTATTGCTAATCAAACCCTTTCGGTCCATCCAGGAGAATCCCAAGCACCCAATCTCAATTTTGCGCCACGATTAGCGAGACCTCCTCCTCACCCGACCCGTACGAGTTTGATTCTGTCAATCTCTTTCTGGACTTGTTCGAGGCTGATTAACCGGTCCTCTAGACGGCGATCATTCATTCACCAAATAAACAATACTCAAAACACCCCTATAGTCGGCTCAGCTGATGATCCAGTCGATGTTCACGCCACAATCAGCCTCGTCCATGCGCTGGTGTCACATTGATTCTCGAAGCGAGTGCAAGTGTTGAGTGGACTCGGGATCATCCTGGGAAAACTGAAGCGGACATAGGTAACTTACATCCAAAAGAGGACCGCTGTGGACCGTGTCCTTCTTCACTTCGCGCCTGCTTATGGTTGATTCGAGCCTTTTTGGAGTCTAATCATGATCGATCATGGACTCCTCCTCCGAGGGGGGTCCCGTACTCGACGTTGTAGTTTCAATGCGCGAGTTTCGAGCCAGGGTAAACTTGGCGTGAGGTTATCTTGCTCTAGGTCCCGTCTTCCAAGCCTCTAGAGGTGCATCCACATTCACCCCCGTTGTGACGAAATACTCTTGCCTAGTATAGAAAGTCCCGTACTACGAAGCCATGTCATATTAATGGTCCCTTTTAATCTCGGGCCAGGTTGTA